TATCTGCATCTGATACTCTTATCATTTCTCTGTTATTAAAAATCATCCTTTTGAGGAAATAACAAAAATGTTTAGATTTTCTTAAAACTTCTTCCCTCTTCCCCCAAAATTAAAAGTATCACCCAGCTTTCTATCTTGTCAAATTATAATTAAAGTAAATTATTTTTATATGAACAAATAGTAGTTTAGTTCTCATGTTACTTTTTTCTGGGAGATTCTTTATGAAAATCAAGTTATCTTTTTTTTTTTTCTTTTGATGTTGAACAGTAACAAAGAAGGTAGTTTTCCAAACTAAGACTAGTGTTTGTACCCTACACATGTTTTCCTGTTACTTCCAACTTGTCAAAGTAAACAGAGAACAATTGATTAGGATTAAAAGAATTTCTCTGGTCAGTTCTAAAAATATATATATTAGGAATGCTGATTATGCATTTCCAAGTCGATCAAATTTAATGCATTTTCAATTCCGCATGTAAATGCTTCAATTAAACATTAGTGAGGGACTCTGTTTTCATATTGTGTAGATAGATTAGTGATAATTCTGCTTGTTCATTAAAATAAATCATTATTTATCAAATCGGAAAGTAAGAATATATGTTTTTGAGGACCTCCGCATTGAAAAGGTAAAGTCTGCGTACTGTTGACAGTAGTGTGCGTTCTGTTGATGTGAAGCGCCCTGATGCTCAGTGCCATTGTCCTGGCTCATCACTCAATTGGTCACCACATATGATTCCTGTTGGGGAAGGAAAAGTTATAAGAAAAATGTGACTTTAAAAAAAAAAAAGAAAAGTTTTTAATGTAAACTTTGCCCTGAAGTACACCTGTATTTTGTTTTATTTTTAATCCAAGCGCACTTACTTGGGTTGTCTTTCCTAAATAAATCTAAAGAAATGTCTTTTTCATCATGTTGAGTCCCCTAACTGTGCTTGTTGCCCAAAGGAAATGGGACGTGGTCATGGGAAGTCCTTAAAAGGGAATCCAGACTAATACACACGCAAACATACTTACTAAATGTGCAAAGCATTATGTGACATATACTTAAAACATAATTTAGAAGAAAAAACTGATGTTTTAAGTCTACAAAAAAGATTGATAGATTAAGTCTATATTTCTCTTTAATTCTTAAGACAGACTTTATAAAGATAGGTTATGATTAGACATCGATTTTGAATTCACTGAATATGCTCTACTAAAATCCCCACTTAACTAAGTTTAAAAACATCAGTAAGCAATCAGAACAAATTTAACTAAATTATTTGCTTAAGCAGAATGGCAAATTCACTGTTCAAAGCATCTATTGACAGTAATATGATGGAAACCACCATTGGTAACCTTGTGAACAGAGTGGTCTTGCTTTTTAAAAAGTTGCCCTTTCTAGGTGTTTCTACAAAGAGAGACCCAGTAGCCTAGTGATTAAGAACATGGAATGAGGAGCCAGATCACTTGGCTTTCGGATCCTGGTTCCATCACTTACAGCTGTGTGACCTTAGGAACATGACTCAATGTCTTTGTATCTGTTTCCTTAACTCTATATGAGAATGATAATAGTACCTACCTTGTAAGGTTGTTGTGTTAAATAAACCAGTATATCTAAATAACTTAGAGCAGTGCCTGGCAGAGACCAAATGCTATGTAAGTGATAATTATTATTAATGTTATCATCATCATCATTATTATTATGCTTTTTCTCACTTTTTTCCATTCTATCATGACATACTTTCCTGTTGGTAGCATAAATGCAGCATTCACCCCATTTGGCTTTTTCTATAAATTATAGAAATGGGTAGATATCAGTCATATATATTGCATTGTTAGCAAAAGTGATTGAGCAATTACCTAAGTCAAGTATTGGGTTGTCAGTAAAGTCATGATGTATTTTTTCTATGTTTTCCTTTGGCAACAATGCATCATGACTTTTCCGACAACCCAATAAGCCTTCAATGGTAAGAGTAGATTATGACTAAGAGGAATCTCTCTTTTCATTGCTCAGAGATAGCGTAGTGTAATGGATAGAGAGCACAGACTGGAGTCAAGATGGACATGGGTTTGAGTCTGAGCACCACCGCTCACTACCTCTGAGAGGGAAACTCTCAGTGTCATTCTGCCGCTAAGAGAGTAGCCTGAGAGTGAGCTAGATGGGAATTCACATCCCAGCTCTGGCACATAGTAGCTGTGTGAACTTGGACAAATTTTTAGTCTCACTGGAAATAGAATCCTATACATTATGGAAGTTTCTGTAAAATGGAGATAATAGGTGCTTTAGTGTATGGTGAGCGCTAAAGGTAATATACATAATGCACCAGACACAAACCCTGGTACCAAGTATGCATAACTATTTCTCCAAAGTACCTGTAATGTTGAATATTTTAAGCATGTAAAGAATGTGTGACATTCAATCTTTATAAGGTCCTCTCCTTTCTTCCTCCATTTCTTCACTTTATGCTAACCCTTTAATTTTTGAAGAGAGAATACACAGAAAGGCATTATTTTTGCCAAAAATTGTTCCTAACATCTGTTCCCTTGTAGTCGATGATATAGTGTGATGTCACATTCCAAGGAAGTACAAGTGGTGCTAGGAAATTTTGCTAAAACTTCTTGACATGTATTGGTATGTGTGTCATTTTAGTACTAGAGGAAATAACTCTGAGAGCAGTACATTTGGCATTTCTCAATCTAAAAATAGTGGCAGGGTATTTTGGAAGAAACACTGAGTTTTTCATAGCGCCATCCAATACTGGATATTGGCCACTGGTGTTAAGAGAAGTTTCCAAGGTTACCACCCAGTAAGCCTAATTACAGGATGAGGTCTGTGAGCCATCAAGCTGCTATCTCTGATATTATTCTGCTATAGTGTCCATGTGGCTAATTTTTTTTTAAATGTTTTGAGCCTATATCCAATCAGTTTTAAAGATGAGTGTGATAATCTGAATAAAACAAAAATGGTAATGATTTTAGAGTGGATTTGTAATAGCATTTGAGATGTTTCAGTGGTTTTTTGTTTTGTTGGTGCATTTCCTTTATACAGTTGAAAATTAATTATGTCATTATATATGATTGAAATAAATTTTTTGAATGCATAGCTTTGTATCTCTGAGCATCTTCAAAGATAAGAATATTTAAAAGCAGGAAAGAAGTTTTTCTTAGAGAACCTATAGAAAGAAAGTGGGAAATCTGTGTGGAAGAACATTCAATTTATTATTATAGATTAAAATAGTTACTTAACATTAAGAGAAATAAATATCTATATATAAATTATTTTAGAAGGAAATACTGAGCAGGCTGAAGGGACTCGAACTTATGAAAAGTTTCAAATCCTGTTTGCAGTAGGAAATTAGCATTTGGCTGAAAAATCTTAGTTTGATGTATGTTAATGTGTTGTCTGTTTTATTACAGAAGCTTAATTGAAATTAAAAGTTTAAAAAAAATTTTTAGAACATTTTATTTCAATATCACCTGCATATGTTACAATAGGATTCATTTTCAACATACATGAAAAATACTAGTAGTATCTTACCAGTATGTATTATAACACTTTACTGGTTCCTCAGAAATATTGTATTAGTGCCGTAAGTAGCTGGGAGGAATGTACATATCTGTTCTGAC